TTTTGTATTTAGGCAAAAAAGCTTCTTTCTTTCTTTTTTTTTGAGACAGAGTCTCAAGCTGTCACCCTGGGTGGAGTGCCATAGCGTCAGAGCTCATAGCAACCTCAAAATCTTGGGCTTAAGCAATTCTCTTGCCTCAGCCTCCCTAGTAGCTGGGACTACAGGCGCCTGCCACAACATCCGACTATTTTTTTTGTTTGTTTGTTTTAGCAGGCCCAGGCTGGGTTTGAACCCACCAGCCCTGGTACATGTGGCTAGAGCCCTAACTGCTGAGCTACAGGCTCCCAGCCAAGACCCCATCTCTTTAAAAAATAGCCAGGTATGGTGGGAGGCATCTGTAGTCCCAGCTACTCAGGAAGCTGAGGCAAGAGGATCACTTGTGCCTAAGAGTTTGAGGTTGTTGTGAGCTATGATGACTCCATGGCACTCTACTAAGGATGACAAAATAAGACTGTCTCAGCGAGTACCTGTCTGTTCCATGTTTCTCTGTTGGTGTCTGGTGTGGCCCACTCCTTGGCATTGCTTGGGTGTGTCACCCCAGTCTCTGCCTCCATGTTCACATGGTCTTTAAAAATACCAGTCAAACTAGATTAGGGACCCACTCTATGTTTTATCTTAACTAATCCTAACTAATTACATCTGCAATGACCTTGCTTCCAAGTGAGGTCACATTCTGAGCACTGGGGGTTAGCACTTCAATGCATCTTCTTAGGAGACGCATTTCATTTGTAACATTCACACTTCACACCACACCATTTCATAAGACATGTTTTTTGCCACTCTGTGTCTCTGCTCCTTGAAAAGAAAAATGCTGACAGGAGTTCACCTGGATGTTGGCAGGTCGCTGCGGGAGCCAAGGAGGTATCCATCTTCGGAGCTGCCTCAGAGCTCTTCACCCGGAAGAACATCAACAGCTCTATAGAAGAGAGTTTCCAGCGATATGATTCAATCATGAAGGCAGCCCAGGCCAAGGGCATTCTTGTGCGGGGGTGAGTCAGACCACACTGGGACCTTTTCCTCAGTGCCGTTCTGGAACAGAGCTAGGCTTTGACTCAAGCAGTCTTGGTACTGCAAGCCCCTTGTCCTGGGTAGGGGCCAGCTAAGCTCCACACCTAGGTATCTTTTCCCAAGGAAATGTGGTCAGAAGAAATCCTAGCAAGTATTTTCTCATCAAACCTGAATTTGGGGTCAGTTTCACCAAGGGAATATAGCAAGACAGGACACTAATTGGGGTTTGTGCAGATCAGTTTAGTCCTGATTTCACTTCCAACGATTTAGGATCCCTCATGAATATTGACAAGAGAAAGATCCCAGCGGGCCTCTTAAGTTTCCACCATTGCACCTCTAATAGCAGAAGTTCCCAGCTTTGTATGTGTGATATCTGTGTAAAACCTCACACTAGGCCAGCAGGGAGGGAGCTGTCTCCACTTTACAGACACCACAGCTGAGGCTCAGGAAGGGTGAATGGTGTCCTCTGCATAACACAGCTATCCATATTGCAGCCAGTCATCATTCAGACGTTCACATCTGATCACATCCCTTCAGGTTGAAAACCTTTCAGTGACTAACCAAGTTCAGGAGTTTTAAGGTGGTTTACAAGACCCTGTAGGATTTGGTCTCTGCCACTCTCTGCAGCCTTATTGTTTACTGTTTTCTTCTGACTCCTCTTCCTCTGCATGGTACACTCCAGCCCAGATGGATGGTCTTTCCATTTGCTATGTGCCCCACTCACTCTCCCCTCTTTTGCATGTGCTGGTTTTTTTTTCTTAGAGACAGTTTCACTTTGTCACCCTCGGTAGAGTGCTATGGCGTCACAGCTCATAGCAACCTCCAACTCCTGGACTTAGGCGATTCTCTTGCCTCAGCCTCCCGAGTAGCTGGGACCACAGGTGCCTGGCTATTTTTTTTGTTGCAGTTTGGCCAGGGCCAGGTTTGAACCTGCCACCCTCAGCATATGGGGCTGGTACCTTATCCACTAAGCCACAGGCACCGCCCAAAAGAAATCTTTTTTTTGTTTTGAGACAATCTCACTTTGTCGCCCTTAGTACAGTGCCGTGGCGTCACAGCTCACAGCAACCTCCAGCTCTTGGGCTTAGGCGATTTTCTTTCCTCATCCTACTAGGTAGCTGGGGCCACAGGTGTCTGCCACAACACCCAGCTATTTTTTTGTTGCAATTTGGCTGGGGTCGGTTTCGAACCTGCCACCCTTGGTATATGGGGCTGGTGCCCTAATCACCGAGCCACAGGCACTGCCCTGCATGTGCTTTCTACACACTGAGAGCGTCCCTCCTCCTAAGTTCTCCTCCTTGGGGCTGACTTCTGCTCACACATCAGGTTCTCTTGTGGATGTCAGTGCCCTCCTGTAGGACCCCATAGGCCCTTGGACATCCTCTAACATAGCTTGGCTATGTTAAATCCTCTCCCACCCCACCCCTTCATACCCCAGGGCTCCACTTATATTTTCCATGAAGAGAAACCTACATCTCTGGTGTGCTCTGCTCGCCACTTCAGGGCCTGCATACAGTAGGTACTCAGTAACTGACGGTAGTAGCTCAAGTCATGTCTGCCTGATTGCTGGGCCTGTGCTGTTTTCTCCAAATCTCTCTTACCTTTTCCTTGCTCAGCAATGTTTGAAGAAAATGTGGGGAATTCAAAACATTTATGAGTCTGAAATTATTCAATTAGTGAACATTTATTTTGCCTCTTTTTTTTTTTTTTTGAGACAGTCTCACTATGTTGCCCTCAGTAGAGTGCCGTGGCGTCACAGCTCAGAGCAACCTCAAACTCTTGGGCTCAAGCAATTATCTTGCCTCAGCCTCCCTAGTAGGTGGGACTACAGGTGCCCACCACAACGCTCAGCTATTTTTTTGTTGTAGTTGTCATTGTTGTTTAGCGGGCCCAAACTGGGTTCGAACCCATCAGCTTCGGTGCATGTGCCTGGCGCCATAACCACTGTGCTGTGGGTGCCTGTTTACTTTGCTTGACTATAAAAGGTTTTAAAGACTCCTCAGTTCCAACAGGGCAGTGGGGATGGAAGCTGTCTGCATCTAAGCTCCAGACGTCTTCGCTAGCTTGCCAGAGCCCAGGTCAGGCTTGCGCCGCCTCTCCCACCTCTGCTCAGTCTTCTCTCACCCTTGCTCTGAGCCTCAGCTGTCTGTCCTTTGTTCTGTCTTGACCATACCTAATTCTTCCATCTTTGGGCTTTTTCCAGCCTTTGTTCTCTGCCTGGAATACTCTTTCAAAAGACCTTCCCCCACCCCCAGGCGGTGCCTGTGGCTCAGCGGGTAGGTTGATATATACCGAGGGTGGCAGGTTCAAACCCGGCCCCAGCCAAACTGCAACAAACAATAGCCAGGCATTGTGGTGGGTGTCTGTGGTCCCAGCTACTGGGGAGGCTGAGGCAAGTCGCCTAAGCCCAAGAGCTAGAGGTTGCTGTGAGCTGTGACGCTATGGCACTCTACTGAGGGTGACAAAGTGAGACTCTGTCTCTTATTAAAAAAAAAAAAAAGACCTCTCCCCCTTTCTCAGCAACAGTGTCCTCAGCAGTCTTTCGTGGACCAGCCTCACTACAGCTGGCCGCCTCTAGTTGCTCCCATTTCATTTCCCTTTTCTTTCCTATGTAGCACTGATCACTTTCTGGGACTATCGCATCTGATTATTTGGTTGCCTTTTCTTTTTTTTTCTTAATTCTGTTGTATATTTTTTTTTCCAAAATGGTTCTGAATTGGCTGCCTTTTCACTGGCTATCTCCCTCACTTGAAATAAGCTACACGAGGGCGGAGACCTTAGCAGTCTTGCTCACTGGTCTATTCCGAGTGCCTGGCACATAGTAAGCAACGCAGTAAACATCAACTGAATAAGTGAACGACTCTTGCTGGCAACTCACTGGAGCAGCCAGTCTGTTGGCCCTCAGGCCTATTCCTGATTCGTACTCGCCTCAGCTCTTGTGGTCTTTGGTTTCATCCAGGCCTTGGTCTCCAGCAAGTGCTGCCCCTGGCCCCCCTGCATGTCAGCCTGCTTTGCCTCGTCTCCATACTGCCGCATGCCCACTCACGTTGCTGTATTAGCTTCTCTTCCTCTTCCTCTTATCATTAATCCTTGGCTGCTTCTCCTGAGGCCTACACAACCCCTGCTTCCTGATCTGTAGGCGCATGGGCACCCTACCCTCCCTGGGTTCTCCATTGCCTCTTCCCGGCACTAGGTCGTGCTGCTTCTGCTCTCATTCCACCTCAGTGAGGTCGCCGTTCACCCAGTTTCTCAGCCTACTGCCCAGCTGCAGGTGTTGGCAGCGCGCTGACTGACAACGTATGTCACACAGCCACCCTGCCTCAGCCCTGCTGGCCAGAGATCTGGGGAGCACTGACTTCATTCCTCCCCTGTTTTCCCACAGGTACGTCTCCTGTGCACTTGGCTGCCCCTATGAAGGGAAGATCTCCCCGGCTAAAGTAGCTGAGGTGTGTGTGTGTGTGTCTGGGCAGGCATTTTGTGAGGGTCAGCCACTGGTCTGCCCTGAGCACACAAGTCCCTCTCCCCAAACTCTCCCAGAGGTTACCGATTCGTTCAGTCACCCAGCTTCGTCACTAAGCCCCCTTTGGGCACAGACCTGACTTGCTCCCTGGAGACCACCTCCTAGCTGGGCATGTAGTCTTTGAAGCCCCTGGCCTCTAGCCCAGCCTGAAAGCCTCCAATTTCCAATCTGGTCATTTGACAGGTGACAATTGAGGTGATAATCCTCTTGTGAGGGGTTGCTCACCCAGGAGTTCCTGCAGTTCCTTGTAGTGGTCCAGGGGCCCCACCCTTGACACCCTGACAATAGTAACCACCTCAAGACTGAGAAGAATACAGGGCAGGAATCAAGTTTGAGCAACCCAAGGGCTTATGTCATTTATCCTGCAAAAGCACTCTGTGAATTGGAGACTGAACAACTGGCCACATAGGTTGCATATGGTGAAACCAGGTCACAGACCCCATTTTTTTCTCCCTCCACAGCCTACTTGTTTTCCCCACAAAACCATGTAGCAAGGAAGGATAGTAACAGTGGCAGCTGTTGGTTGACAGCAGCTGCTGTGCTCCAGGTCTTAGCCTCACATTGCTGCCAGTACTTGCCATGGCCCTAAAGGGTCATCACCATTTTTTAAGAGCAGAAATTGAAGCTCAGAAAAGGTAAGTCCTTTGCCACAGTTACAAGTCTTGGAGCTGGCACTTGAGGTACATCAGAGTAGACTGTAAGGCCTGCTCCTCCTGCTGCACCCACCACCTCCTACAGGGCAGCCACTGCCGCTTCATTCCATGTGCAGGGTGCTGCAGGGAGGAGTGTCACCATTTCACTCACAATCCAGCAGATCCCTGGTGAGTGTTATCGGTGTCCCTTGCCCTGCCACATGCTTCCTCACCTTGTCGAGCAGTCCAGTGAGGACAGCATCTCAGGTGAGGCATAAGCTGCTCCTGTTTCGTAGTACTTTCAAAGGTTTGCGTATGGGCTTCCTAAACATTTAAATAGTTCTGTACTTTTATTTTTTGATAGCGTCTCAGTCCATGGTCTCAAAGATCTTACTGCTGACACTAAAACCATGTGAAAGGAATCCATGTTACTGCTGGGTCTCGCAGCATGCATGGAGGGGCTGTGAAGACTGGAGCATGACGGGTGCAGGTGGGGAGGAAAGCACAGTGCTGCCTGCCCCCTAGTCTAAGTCCTCTGGTCAGCAGAGTGAGGGCATCACTCCCACTCAGTTTGAGGGAGCCTGCGGTCCAGCAGGAATTCAGTGCTTCAGGTATGGAGCTGTGCTACTTCCACAGAGGATCCCCTGCCTCTAAGCACCTGGATCCCTGGTTGGTGGAATCAGTGTCCTCCAAATGCCTGCTTGCTTCCCCAGGTCGCCAAGAGGATGTACTCAATGGGCTGCTACGAGATCTCCCTGGGGGACACCATTGGTGTGGGCACCCCAGGGGCCATGAGGGACATGCTGACTGCTGTCATGCACGAGGTGCCTCTGGCTGCCCTGGCTGTCCACTGCCATGACACCTATGGCCAAGCCCTGGCTAACACCTTGATGGCCCTGCAGGTAATCAAAGTCATGTGCTCATTCTCCCAAGGGCTTGATAGCAGGACAGCTTTGTTTCATTTATTCTTTCAGCAGCACTTAAACACCTTCAGGTCACAGATATGATGACCTTGCCCTAAAGGTGCCCACATCTGTCAATGAGACAGTCAAGGGATTTACATGATGATCCTACTGCATTACGACAGATACAACAGGGAGAGGAAGTCTAGAGAAAGAACCCCATCCCAGCTGAGGCTGTCAGGGAGGATTTGCAAAGAGGACAGAGCGAGGCTGGATGCCCTGGCTGTCCACTGCCATGACTCCTCCAGGGATGGACATGAAATGAAGCTGTTGAAAAAGGAAGGAGGAAACTATCTCAAGACTGAGGTGGGGTTCAGGGAGGACTCACACCCCAGCCCTATGACAGTGCACAAGGAGTGAGTGTGTGCAAGGGTGCATTGGGAAGCAGGAGATGGGAGGCCTTTGGTGCTATTCTCCAAAGACTGGGCTGAGATCACAAATTTGATTTCCCTTGGGGTTTACTTCTGGCCCAGAATAGTGATGCCATTGACTGGCGGCCCTATAGAAGAAACATTCTTGGTGTCTGACCACAGGCAACCTTGTCGTAGCCTGTGAGGCTGGCTACCTGCCATCTTTAGGACAGTGATGGCAATCCCCGGCAATCTTTTTTTTCCCCCTCTTTTCTCCAGAAGTCCATGTGGCTGAGCCCAATGGTAAGATTACTTCCTGGGTCTGTTTCCTCAGAGTTGTGGTTGTCAAGGTTAAGGTTTGCTCCTCTGTGGTCTCTTCCATTTCTTGGCTTGCTGTGACACCCAGGCCTGGGCCCCTCGGTTTTCCTACAGCTCATGAATTTCCTGGCCTACCAGGAAGAGGAAAGTGACTTCCTCTTACAGACCTTGCCTGGCAGGTAAAAGGGATTTCTGCACAGCCAGGATGAGCTTGAGGCCAGACTTCACCCTGGCCATACTCAGGACACTCCCGCTTCTTTGTGCTTCTTTCTTTCTTGGCACCTGATGTCCTCATGATCTGCTTTTTGAAAATTTCTCAGAGAACATGATCAGCCTCTTCCATCAGTCATTGAAGATATTGTATCATGTGAGGACAGGGATGGTGGCTCATGCCTGTAATCCTAGCATTCTGGGAGGCTGAGGCAGGTGGTGGATTGCTTGAGCTCACAAATTCAAGACCAGCCTGAGCAAAGGGAGACCCCATCTCTACTAAAAATAGAAAAACTAGCCAGACATTGTGTTGGGTGCCTCCCCACCACTTCAGGAGGGGAGTAGCTGCTCAGGAGGCTGGGGCAAGAGGATTGCTTGGCTCAGTGCCTGTGGTTCAAGTGGCTAAGGCGCCAGCCACATACACCTAAGGTGGTGGGTTCGAATCCAGCCCAGGCCCACCAAACAACAAT